AATCTCGGTATTACAGAACATTTCAAACGTACATGAAAGCAGAGAGAATGGTATAATGGACCATATGCCCCCGCCAGCCAACGCGGATAGTCAGCCACGGCCAATCTTCCCTTCCTTCCTGTACAGATGATTTGTGAATAAGTCCCAGACATTGCATCATTTTATTTTATTTTATTTTTTGTAAATACTTTGGTATGAATCTCTAAAAATCCCTTCTTTTTTGTGTTTTAGTTTAATTTAATATAATTGAGGGGTTTCCCCCCATATTTTATTGTATTAGCATAAAATTTATCATCTTCACTATTTTCAAGTGCACAGTTCAGTGGTTAAGTACATTCATATGTTGTACAACCATCACCATTGTCTATCTGTATAACCATTTTCATTCTATACCCGTTAAACAATAGCTCCTCATCCCTCTCCACCCCCTGGAAAACACCATTCTACTGTCTGTCTCTGATTTGGACTACTCTACGTACCTCATACTGGTGGAATCATACAGTATTTGTCTTTTGGGACTGGCTTATTTTATTTAGCATGATGTCCTTAAGGTTCAAACGTATTGTAGCATATGCCAGGATTTCCTTCCTTTTGAAGATTGAATCATATTTCATTGTATGTCTAGAGTACATTTTGCTTATCTATTCATCCATAGACAGATATTTAATTATTATGAATAATGCTGCTGTGAACTTCTCTCTTTTCAAGACCCTGTTTTCAGTTCCTTTTGGTATGTATCCATAAGTGGAATTGATAAGTGGAATTGCTGGACCATATAGTAATTCTATTTTTAATTAGTTGAGGAACTGCCATACTGTTTTCCACAATGGCTGCACCATTTTACATTCCCACCAACAGTGCACATGGTTTCCAATTTCTTCACATCCCCACCAACACTTGTTATTTTCTTCTTTTTTTTTTAATAGTAGCCATCCTAATGGGTATGAGGTAGCATCTCCTTGTAGTTTTGATTTGCATTTCCCTGATGATCAGTGATGTTGGGCATCTTTTCATGTGCTTATTGGCCATTTGTATATCTTCTTTGAAGAAATGTCTATTCAAGTCCTTTGCCCATTTTTGAATAAGATTGTTTATTTTATTGTTGAGTTTTAGGAGTTCTATATATATCTTCGATATTAATTCCTTGTCAGATATATGATTTGCAAATATTTTCTCCCATTCTGTGGGTTGCATTTTTACCCTATTTATACTGTCTTTCAATGTACAAAATTTTAAAAATTTTCATGAAGTCAAATTTCTTTTTTCTTTTGTTGCTTGTACCTTTGGTGTCACATCCAAGAAACCACTGGCAAATCCAAAGTTGTGAAAATTTACCCTATGTTTTCTACTAAGAGTTTTATGGTTTTATGTCTTACATTTAGGTGACTGATCCATTTGGGGTTAGTAATTCTAAATGGTCTTAGATAAGGGTTCAACTTCATTTTTTTCTGCATGTGGATAGCCAATTTCCTTGCACTGTTGAAAAGACTGTCCTTTTCCCATTGAATGGTCTTGGCATCCTTGTCAAAAAACACCTGCTCATATATGCAAGAGTTTATTTCTGGATCCTCTGTTCTGTTCCATTGGTCTATATATCTGTCTTCATGCCAATACTACACTATTTTGATTACTGTAGCACTGTAGTAAATTTTGACACTAGGAAGTGTAAATATTCCAGCTTTGTTCTTGTTTCAAGATTGTTTAGTCTACCCTGGGCTATGTGATATTTCATATGAATATTAGGTTAGGTTTTCCCATTTTTGCAAAAAGCATCATTGAGATTTTGCTAGGGAGTGCATCAAATCTATAGATTACTTTGGGTTGGGTAGTACTGACATCTTAACAATATTAAGGCTCCCAATCCATGAATATGGGATGTCTTTCCATTTATTCATGTATTCTATAACTTCTTCCAGCAGTGTTTTAAAGCTTTAATTGTACAAGTCTTCCACCTCCTTGGTTAAATTAATTCCTAAGTATTTTATTCTTTTTGATACTATTGTAAATAGAATTTACTATTGTAAATAGAATACTATTGTAAATAGAATATTGGTTTTATAATTTTCTTTTTAAATTGTTCATTGTTAGTATATAGAAATGCAGCTGATTTTTGTGTATTGACTTTGTAGCTTGCTACTTTGCTAAATTTATTTATTCTAACAAGTTTTTGTGTGTTTGTGTGTGTGTGTGTATAATTTTTAGGGTTTTATACATATAAGAGCATATCATCTGTGAACAGAGATAATTTTACTTCTTCCTTTCCAACTTGGGTGCTTTTAATTTCTTTTTCATGCCTAATTGCTCTGGCTAAAACTTTCAGCACAGTGTTGAACATAAGCAGAAAAAGCGGGCCATTGCCTTGTTCTTGATCTTGGAAAAAAAGCTTTCGGCCTTTCACCATTAGGTATAAGGTTAACTATGACATTTTCAAATATGGCTTTTATTATGTTGAGGTAGTGTCCTTCTATTTTAAGATTCTTTAGTGTTTTTATCATGAAAGGGTTTTGAATTTTCTTAGGCTTTTTCTGCATCAACTGAGGTGCTATTTTTTGTCCTTCATTCTGGTGTTAATGTGGTATAGTACGTGATTGATTTTCATAATTTGAAGCTTCCATGCCTTCCAGAAACAAATTATACTTGGTCATGGTGTATAATTCTATTAATATGCTGCTGCATTCTGTTTGCTAGTGTTTTTTTGAAGATTTTTACATCAGTGTCCAACAGGGATATTGGCCCTTAGTTTTCTTTTCATGTAGTGTCCTTGGCTGGCTTCAGTATCAGGGTAATGCTGGCCTCATAGAATGAGTTAGGAAGTGTTCCCTCCTCTTCAATTTTTTAAAAAGAAGTTTGAAAAGGATTGATATTAGTTCTTCTTTAAGTTTTTGCTAGAATTCACTGGTGAAGCCATTTTGTGGAAACACTCTTAATTCCTTAAAAGCCCAAGACTCTTGGGCTAAGAGATACAAATTACAGAGCTAAAAGGGACCTTAAAGCTTTTCTTGCTCAGCTATTACTCACAAGCAACTTGCCCACAATTACGTACAGGACGTTCCAAAAGTCTCCATGCATAGGAAAAAATAACAAACTCATTTTATACTATATTATATTTTACATTTTTAATATTTTTATATTTCTTCCCATTTTTCCCTATGTATGTTGACTTTGGGGACATCCTGTATTTAGTAGCAAAACTAGGGCTAAATCCCTGGCCTCCTGACTTAGTACAGTGCTCTTTATGCCTTGACAGTCTCCAAGTAAAAAAAAATATGTTTTTATACAATATAAAATTTTTACAGAAGCTGTTGCTTCCTGTCTTTTCTTTTACATTCCCTTGGTTTTCTTGTCCACCAGATGTTCACCCAAACTCATGGGTAGGTATGTATGTCACTCACCAGGAGGGTTCTTAGAGGAGTGACACAGAAAGAAGCCAAGGGAGGGAGGATTAACTGGGGATGAGAATGCAGTGCCATGGAGTCCCTGCTTCATGCTATCACCCCTCTGCCACCACCATCAATAAGGAGGCACGTGTGGCATGAGTGCCCACTGGTGCACTTCAACCAGCTTCCTCTGCTGAACTCAAAACACAGACTCCAAGGCCCCACCAAGAGGATGACATTGGGGGCTCAGTGGTCGATGCAGCCCAAAAAGAGTTTTGTCAAGGGAAGGCAGCATCCTAGACATAGCAGAGACTGTTTAAGCAGAAATAAAGGATCAAATTAGAGATTTTTTTCTTTGTAGCCACTGGTTCTGAACATCAGAAAAATACAAAAAAGAAAAAAAAAAACCCTCATGAAAGTATCTTTTACAAAGGGCATTGGAAGAACAGTAAGGCTGTGTTGGGGTGAGACTCCAGAGTGTGCAGGTGCAAAGCCAGGTGGATAATCCGAGAGGCAGTGTCACGGGAGCCCATCTCTCTCCTCCGATCAGTTTCGTCTCTGAGCTGATCAACTCAGGCTCAGAAAAAGGATGTCGGCAGGTAGGAGTGGGTACAGGCAAGGAAATGAGCCCCTAGGAATTATGAAGTTAAAGACAATACATATGACAGGTCTGTCTGTGTTGAAAGAGATGTGGAAGAATGCTGCAATGACAAAAATAAAGTTCCACTAACCTCAACTCCTTTCATTCATAATCGTAATTTATGATATTCAAAGTTGGAACAATTCACTTCAATAAGCAAAATAATTCACTTCTTATTCTTTAAGAATGCAAATTATTTGATATGTTTATTTGAACCTGAAGAAAGTGTAGTAAATAATCACCTGTAAAATGGAGCTAACTTGCTCGGCAGGCCACAGCTGGCCCTGCGCACTCTAGCACAGCCCCTCCAGCTTTCGTGTGCAGACGATTGGCGGGGGTGTTAACATGCAGATTCTGATGCAGTCGGTGCAGGTGGGACTAGATTCTGCATTTCTGACAAGCGCCCAGGTGGTCCTCAGCGTTGCCCTGGGGGCAGGCTGTAGAGCACCCTGAGAGCCCTAAGCTGTGTCTGTCTCCAGGTGCCTTGCTGTGGGATTCACATTTGAGACCTGACAGCTCAAGGGGATCATCGCTAATTAGGGATTATTCTGATCATATAATTTCCTGCTTGAATGAGTAGCTCCGTACCTGGGAAGAGTCAGTCTCAGCTCACGGACCTGCAGTCTCATTTCCCTGTGGGCGAGTCGGATGCTGATGTGATTCTGTTCACCCCTGGGCTTCAGGGTGGCTGCTGGCAATCAGGGTCCTCTGGGGCTGCAATGCATCCAATTCCTGTAGAGCGTCCTTCCTTGGGAAGCAGGAGCTCTATGACACGCAGGTAATAAATTGCTGGCTTACTCTGGCTGGCCACCCCGACGGCCTTTTTAAAATTCACAGAATAGGTAGGACTGTGCGTCACCTGACTCCCCTGGCTGCTGTGCATCTTGGTTGACTGGTACGACCCGAAACAATTCAGGCCTGGATGATTAGCTTTTTTTCCAAGTGTGATTTTCTTGTCTCATCTCTATTTCCTCCTCCTCCAGGAGAAATGGGCCCCATGAGGCCAGTGTGACTTACGAGTCCAGCCCGCCAGCCTGAGCCCAGCCCGGGAGGAGGACCATGGATGGCATCATTGAACAGAAGAGCGTGCTGGTGCACAGTAAAATCAGCGATGCTGGCAAGAGGAACGGCTTAATTAACACCAGGAGCTTCATGGCTGAGAGCAGGGATGGTCTGGTGTCCGTTTACCCAGCCCCCCAGTACCAGAGCCACCGGGTGGTGGCCAGCGCAGTGCCAGCTGTCCTGGACAGCAGCAGGAGTGAGCCGGTGCAGCAGCTTCTGGACCCCAACACCCTGCAGCAGTCGGTGCAGCCCCACTCCCGGCCCAACATCTTCCTGTACTCGGAGGGCCTGCTGCGCTCCTGGGGCGAGGGCGTGGCCGCCGACTGCTGCGAGACCACCTTCATCGAAGACCGGTCCCCCACCAAAGACAGCCTGGAGTACCCCGACGGGAAGTTCATCGACCTCTCGGCTGACGACATCAAAATCCACACCCTGTCCTATGACGTGGAAGAGGAGGAGGAGTTCCAGGAGTTGGAGGTCAGCGGCCTTCTGGGAGAGGGCGGTGGGGATTCCGGGGCTGGGGGGACAACTCATGAGTGCCCGGTGACAGTTGGGGAAGGAAACTGGTGTGCGTTGGGAATGAAGCCGAAGGCGTTCTTGGTGCCCCTCCCTGCTGAATGTTTGTGGAGGTGGAGCAGAGGAGGAAGATTAGACGGACAGCGTCAGAGGGGCCTGCAGGTGGCTGCACTGGCGGGCCAGCTGGGGGTCCCTGCTGTCCATCACCCTGTGAGAGGGAGAGGCCGTGGACAAACGTGAGCAAGATGAGAGGGACGCCGATCCCAGAGGCTGGAAATGTGTGTGTGTGGGACGGTTTGGGAAGAATGTCTGCTGTCACGTGTGGACTCCTTGATTGTGCATTCCAAAGTTTCTACTGAGAGGTTGTAGGTTTCTTGGTAGAGCTAAACCTTGCTGGAAGAAAATAGTCTAAAGGGAAGAGGCGTGAAATTGCTAGATGAATCATTTCTTCAGTGGACTGGCCAGCAGGTTAGGGCATTTGAACTGCATTCCCAGAAACGTGCATATTGGACATGCTGTGACAGGGCACAGCAGTTGCCGAGTGTGCGGCAGTGTGTCCCTTCAGAGCGGCACCTGGCCAGAGGGGAGAGCCGCTGCTCAGGGGATCAGTGAGGAGGCAGCCGCCCGCCGCACAGCCACCCCACTGCAGTGAGGGTAGAAGGTGCTGCCCCAGGACGGAGCTGCAGAGAGGGGCGGGCCAGCCCTTCTGTCACTGCAGTAGGGCAGGAAACTGCAGAGTGGTTCTGACCTCCACGAGGCCCTGTGGTCAAAGGGAAGGGCTGAGGCCTGGCACGGTGGCTCACGCCTGTAATCCTAGCACTCTGGGAGGTGGGCAGATCGTTTGAGTTCAGGAGTCCGAAACCAGCCTGAGCAAGAGCGAGACCCCGTCTCTACTATAAATAGAAAGAAATTAATTGGCCAACTAATATATATAGAAAAAATTAGCCGGGCATGGTGGCGCATGCCTGTAGTCTCAGCTACTCAGGAGGCTGAGGCAGCAGGATCGCTTGAGCCCAGGAGTTTGAGGTTGCTGTGAGCGAGGCTGACGCCATGGCACTCTAGCCTGGGCAACAAAGCGAGACTCTGTCTCCAAAAAATAACAAAACAAAAAACAAAGGGAAGGGCTGTTATCTCTGGCTACGTGGGGAGAACATTTTTGTAGGTGGTGGAGAGGAGATGTTCAGAGCAGAGGATCCAGGGTCCTGGGGAGGAGGCGGGCCGCAAGCAGGGGTCCTGGAGGCCTGGCCTTTCGGAAGTCAGCTTGCACTTGCCTGAGAGAGAAGAGGGACAGGGGGGAAATGAGGGGTTCCTGTTGGCTGAGGTCAGCACAGGGGGGGAGTTGGGGCAAGGAGACCAGCGGGTCAGGCCTGGAGATGCCAGTGAGGACCCGGCACAGCTGCAGGGAGACGCTGTGGTCCGGAGGGAGATTCAGAAATGGTGAACTCGGATGTCGGAGCAGCACCAGCCAGTGGAGCCCGACTGGGACTGGCAGGGGGTGGGGAGTTGCTGTCACGGAAAAGGCCCCGGACCTGTGACACCCAGACGTCCGAGGAGGCCCTCACAACCCAGATGGCACCTGTGAGGGGTGCGTACTTATGCTCTGGCTGGGGGGAGCGGGAGGGTGCTTTGGCTTCTGTTCTGAAGCCTCTGTTAAATGTCCACTGTTTTCCAGGATCTGAGGGTTTTGGGAAAGCAGAAGTACAAATGCTGGCTGACCTGTACAAAGTTAGGGAGGCAGGTGCATGAAAATACATTTTTAGCCTCACACGTTAGTTATGAGGACTAAATGCCCAGTTTGTCCTGAAAGCATCCAAAAGAGGGGATGGGGCTCCGAGCTCTATGCGGAGGGTCAGAAGTTCTTTGCAGAGGCAGGACCCCACCCCACTGCATCTTGAGAATGAGGGAAGGAGGCTTGTGGGCGGTGGCAGGAGAACTCCAATCCAGGAGGACATGGGGCCACAGAGGCAGCCGACCTGGGAACTCTGTAGGGAACGGTAACTGGTTAGAAATGCTATGACCCCCGCCCCGCCCCGTAGATGGCGGATGGGGTAGGGGAGACATGACCGAGAGGGAAACGGGATCCTATCGCTGAGGACCTCTTGAGCCACCTAAGGGAGACGGGACGTAGGCAGGGTCACAGGACCCCAGTGAAAGAGTCAGGAAGGTGCCTGAAGGAGGGTTAGCACCTTGGAGGGCCCAAGCCTCGCTGGACCTGCTGTCCATTCCAGTCCAGCACGGCGTGGGCTGTGCTGCTAGACATGCTGAATGGATTTGTTAGGGTATCTGAGAGTCAGAACGCTCCCTAATTTAATTCACAAGACAATCCAGAGTGAGCAGGGCGTTACATGGAAGAATTGGGAACTGCGGGCAACAGGCCTTGACCACGGGAACCATGGAGGGGTTTCAGGCGGGAGGGCTGTGGTCAAACCTGTGTCTTTAGAAGCTGCTCTGGCCATAGGTGGGATGGAAATGGAGAGGAGATGGAGGCAGGAGAGAGACATGGGGCTAAGACCTCACTCGGTGCACCTCCTACCCCCACTGGGGGCCTGTCAGATGAGATCAGGACAACATTAGAAGGGGGACATAACACCTAAAAGGTGAAATTTGCTATTGATTGGAGATGAGGAGAGAAGAGTGGCAACAAAGGAGGCAGAGGTGTCCCCAGGCCCCCAGGTGGCCAAACTGGCCGGCAGAGGATTTTCAGCTTTGTTGTGAGTTTTTGGAAAATCAGTTCCAGTATATAATAAGCTCCAGCAATAGAAGGCTTGGGGCAGTAACTAGATTGAAAAAGAGATTCTGGATGTCTCCATCATTCCTTTCCCACTGTGTAGGTTTTATCCCCCTCATTATACTCCACACTTTCCTTGACTAGCTACACTGTGTCAGGGTCAGTGGGACATGACCAGGTCATCAGCATGTCTTCTTGGTCCTCAGTTAACTTCCCTCCTGTTGCTGTACAATGGACTGTACTCAAAAGAATTCTGTTACTCTTTCTTTGAGACTTGCATGGGTTTCTGATGAAGCTTGCACATAAACACAACCAATATTTAAATGCAATTTTTTTATTCCTAGTATGTCTGAACATTTACATTTTTGACAATTACTGAATCCATTTCATTGCAACAACTTTTCACATAATGACCTCAGCAGGGAAATGCAGGTTTTTGCAGTTCTGCAAAGGTCTGAAATCTGCTCAGAACAATACCTTAAATTAAAGTTAGGAGGTAGTGGAGGTAGAGACAGACTTGTCTATCCTGGTGGGTCCACGGCTTTGACAGATGGTGTAGACTTCCAGGGAGGTGGGCTCTCCCACCCAATCTTGTTCCTCTGTGCTAGCAACAGCAGCGGTAGCACAGCAGAAACAATTCTTTTAATAATACAGCAGCAGGAATATTTATTTATAATAATAGAACCTATTCTGTATTCATATTTTTATAGTGACTTTTGATTATAATAGTAAGATAGAGCATATTGGCATTTATACTTTGGCCAGAAGAGGTACTTCCCAGTAACATTGATGGAACAGCAAGTTGTTTAAAAAACAAGCTACTTCTTAGGCACTTGGTGAGACTTTCTGGTGGACATCCAAGGAGCTCACCACACCAAGAAATGGCACCTCCCACAGCATCTGAGGAGCAGAGAAAAAGACACAATGATGTGGCTGCTGTCATTCCTACAATGCTATTTAGGACACCAGTGGAAGATTTCAAGGGATCACCAGGAGTGGTTAATTTGGTCCTTTAGGAATTCTATGAAAACAAAAGATATTTTCTCAGAAACATTCTTACAGTATTGCTATGGTGGTTTTTATTCTATTTTTTTTTTGTAAATGAAGAAAAACTAATGACTGACTAGAAGTATCATTGTACAAAAAGTAACTGTTCTATGGTTTATTCTTTTTTCCATTCTAATAAATAATAAAGGAGCATGTATCAGTCAGCATTTGCTACATAACAAATTACCCCAAATCAGAGGTTTTAATACAACAACTCTTTATTTAGCTCAGGATTCTGGGGGCCACCAAGTGGTGTTGGGCTCAGTCGGTGCTTGTTCTGCTGGCCTCACCTGGGCTCAGCATTTGTCCATAGTTAGCTGCCGATGGGTGAGGCAGCCCTGCTAGAGGGTGTTGGCTAGTTGTTGGCTGCAGTGACAGAGGTGACTGCATTGCCCAATGGGCTGTCCCAGGCTTCGTCATACAGCAGCTGTGCTAGGGACCCCAAGAGCAGCAGAGAGGGTGAGTCCCACTGTATAAGGGCATTTCAAGTCTTGGCCTGTGTCCTGCATGTTATTGTCTTATTGCCTAAGCAAGTCGCAGGGCCAAGGCCAGAGCCAGTGTGGAAGGGACTACTTAGGGGCAAGCGACAGCAAGTTGGGTGCCAATACTACTACCATAGAGCAAAAAAGCGTAGACTCTGGCATAATTTTTTTAAAAGATCATCTAATTGGGCAGAGTGACAACAGCCATGATTGTATTATTACTGAAACAAAAACAGTAAATATTGATCTGGAACATTTTCCAGAAGGCAGTTCCACTTCAGAAAAGGAGGGAAAAAAACGTGATTTTAATGTCTTTAGGAATTCTACAGCTTCACTTGGTCTGTAGCAAATCAGTACTGTTTCCTGAACCACCCTGGTTAGGAGCAGGCCCCTCTCGCTGGAGCTCCTGTCTGCTGGGTGGCCCAGCCAGCCCTGCCCCATCACACCGCCAGGGGAGCCTCATCCCTGGCATTTAAGCAGAACTGCCAGATCCACAGAGGCTTGCTCACCTGGCACGCATCTTCGCAAGAGCATATGGAGTTTTCAGTTTGCCTTGGCGGTTGTGGTGGTAACATGAACAGGTTCTGTAGCTAAGTTTGAGAATATTTATGGAAGGTCCTCAAGGGTTCAGCAGGTGTTGATGATTTGTCCTGCTCCACCTTAAGTCACGAACGGAGCGGGTTGTGGCTTGATACCAGGCAGGGGCATCTAAGGGGACCTTTGAGGGCTCTGCAGGAGCACAGAGGTGACACTCATTATCTCGTGTTACTGTGCCCAGTGTGACTACACAGGCACCCACTGTGTAGGGGTGCCTGCCTGCAGGACGCTCTGGGTGGTGATAATGGGGCCTGCTGTACCGTGGCCCAGGGCCTTCTCTCTGGTATGACCACTGCTTCATCCAGTTCCCAGCCAGGAGCTAAAAACTGCAGCCTCCAGGAACACCAACAGCGGGGAGCCTCCTCTCCTTTTCACACAAATCAACTCGAACAGAGAGATTTCGGGGACAAATAATAAAGCAGTTCTCAAAATACACAATTTGAGTTTAAGGCTATGGAATCAAGTGGCTGGAGTCTGCACCGGCGAGGCCTGACAGCCCTCCTGCTGTCAGAGATGATGACCGGGTGTGGAAAGGCACACTATTTCCCGATTACTGTGACAATGCAAAACCGTTTAGACCTAGAGCACATGGGCTGTCATCTCTGGGAAACAGTGCCACGAGGGCCGAGCCTGTCCTTCGCTGAAGGAAGAAAGGGGGAGGGAAACCTGTGTTACGGAGCACCTTCTCTGCTGGGCGCTCCGTGTGCATTCTGCCGTCTATCTGATCCTCAGGACGCTGGGGACAGGTCATGTCACTATCCTCTTCCTGCATGGGGGGACTGAAGCTCGGGCTGTTTCCAAGATCACACAGTTGGCTTTGCTGGCAGCCCTTGAATCTGAGACAGGCCCGCTGACTTTAGACTCTTGTCTCCTAATGACAATGCCATTCTTCCTGCATTAGGGGAAAAATTACAGTCCACAAACAGAACACAGAGAGACGGAGCTAGGATCATCCCAGGCCTCTTAACCTCTGTGAACGCTCAGCTGGGACCTTGGAGTCTGTCTTCCCATTTACAAACTTGAAACCTGTTGGAGGACATAGAATCTTATAACCACAATGTAGCACTAACATGTGCCTCATTGATAAATATGGAAAAAGGAATGTGTGTGTGTGCGGGTATGTGTGTGTGACGGACTCTCTACATTTGAAGAAAACTCAAAAGCATGAATGAGACAGAAGTAGAGAACAATGGACCCAAAGGAAAGAATTCAGAAAGTAGTAGACAGCATCTTGAAAATTATTTTTAGTATTCCCAGAGAAATTTGGGGGACTGATTTGGGTTGGGAGTATTTTTTGGTTTTTTGTTTGTTTCTTTGTTTGTTCACCTCATTGCAGTGGCTTGAATCTCTAATACAATGTTGAGTAGAAGTGGAAAGAGTCAGTGAACATCTTTATTTTGCTCCCAATCTTGGGGAAACATTCAGGCTTCCATGAATAAGGATGTTGTCAGCTATGGTGTTTTGTAGACACTCTTATTTAAGTATAGAATGTTCCCTGTATTCACTGCTTTATTGAACAGTTTGCTTTTAATAAAAAATGGGTGTTTAATTTGTCAGATGGCTTTTTTCTATTTCTATTTGGTTATCATGTGATGTATATATATATATGTGTGTGTATATATATATATATATGTCCTTTATTCTTTTGTCCTTTAATTATATATGTATTACATTAACTGCTTTGCAGATATTAAACCATCCTTGCATTTGGGGATAAATCCCACTTTGTAATGGCATGCAGTCTTCTTTAAATGTTGCTGAGTTTGATTTTCTAGTAATTTGCTAAGGATTTTTATGTCTGTGTCCATGTGAGATATTGGTCTATGATTTCTCTTCTTTGTGATGTCTTTTTCTGGCCTTGGTATCAGGGTAATAATGGCTTCATAGTGAGACAGAGAACTAGCAGGTACTGCATTAGGGACTGCTTTGGGCAATGCTTTGGGCATTGCTGCAGCATTGCCTTACTGAGTCAGGAAGACTTAAAGTTTCCAATTGCCCAGATCAAAACAGAGGGAGGCAGGGCAAGTTCCAACCGGTTAGAACCAAGATGGTGGATGAACACTGCCCCTTATGAATGTGCCTCCCTTTGTTTAGCCTATAATTAAACCGTTGCTTAAATAGAAAGGCAATAGAAACCACGAGGTGGTTCTCTTCTGCAGAGACAGCTAGCCTCTACTTTGTGGAGTAGATTTTCTATAGTTCCTGAATAAATCTCATTTTCACCATATACTGTTGTCTCATTTCTCAACTCTTTCTTGCACAAAGGCAGGGACCCACTTAGACCCACTTTTTCTGTGTCAGTTGAGTAAGTTAGGAACTGTTCCCCCTGCTATTTTCTGAATGATCCTGTGTGGTATTGGTATGATTTATTTTGAAGCATTTGTTAGAAGTTACCAGTGAAGCCATCTGGGCCTGGGCTCTTCTTTGTGGGAAGATTTTCAATTACTGAACTAATTATGTTCCTTTAGTGTCGTAAGTCTGTGGTTTTAAAGAAAATCTGAAGGTGTTTCTTTATTCTTGACTCAGTTTTAGTAATTTGTGACCATCTTATCCAAATTATCTAAATTTTTGGCATAAAATTGTCCATAATATTCTGTTTAAATCCTTTTACTTTCTGTATGGTTGGTAATAATGTCTCCTCTTTCCTGCCTAATTTTGGTAATTTGAACTTTTCTATTTCTTCTTAGGTTAGTCTAGCTAAAAGTTTATCAATTTTGTTGATCTTTTCAAATAGTTGACTTCTGGGTCCATTGATGTATTTTTTTCCCATTGTTTTTTCAGTTTTCAATTTCATTAATTTTTACTCAGCTATTTGATATTCTTCCATTTCCTTTTGCTTAAATTTGCTCTTCTTTATCTAACTTCTTCAGGTGGGAACTTGGATTCAGGTTTGTTTCTTTCATGATATATGTGTTCAAAGTTGTAACTTTCTCTCAGATACTGTTTAACTGTGTCCTGTAAATTTTGATATGTTGTGTTTTCATTTTCATTTAGTTCAAAGTATTTTTTATATCCATTGCAATTACTTATTTTACTAATGAGTTCTTTATTAATGTGTTGTTTAATTTCCAGATATTCAGGGATTTCCCACATTTGCCTATCATTTATTCCTAATTAAATCTCATTACAGATGAAGGACATATACATATTTTGTATTATTTATCTTTTACATTGATTGACACTTGATAGTGGCCTAGTATGTGATCTGTCATGTGGGAAGAATGAGTATTCTTCTATCATGTGAAGTGTTTTATAGGTGTTCGTTAGAACGGGCCAGGGTGGTTAATCGTGCTGTGCGTGTCTTCTGTCCTTGCTCTTTATCTGCCTAGTTGTTCAGTCAATAGTGGAATATTAGAAATACTCTCTTTTGTGGAATTGTGTCTATTTCCCCTTTCAATTTTGTTAGTTCTTCATATAATTTTGGATTCCACTATTGCGTGTACATTTATAATTGTTATATCTTGCAAACCTTTTTGTTATGACGTTTCCCTCCTGTGTCTAATACTATTTCTTATCTAAAGGTCCATTTGGTCTGATATTAATATAGTTGCTATACTTTCTTATTATTACTATTTGCATAATATATCATTTTCTATCTTTTTGCTTAGAATTTATTTTTGTCTCTGAATTTAAAGTGTGTCTCTTGTAGAAAGTACATAGTTGAATCTTGTTTTTTTTTTAAATTAAGTCTTATAGTCTCTGTCTTTTAATTGAAGCATTTAGTCCATTTGCATTAATGTAGTTTTTGATATGGTTGGAATTACATCTGCCATTTTGATTTTTATTTTCTACCTGTTTCTTGGTTTTGTTGTTATTGTTTCTATTTCTTCTTATTGACTCTTTCTATGTTAAATAAATATGTTTAGGGTACTGTTTTAATTTCCCTGTTGGTATTTTACTATATTTTTTGTTATTTTCTCCGTAGTGTCTCTGCAGATTACAATAAGGATCTTAATTTATTCAGTTTACTTGAAATTAGAACTAAATTTATTCTAGTAAAGATAGATATAGAAACTATGCTCCAATATAGCTCCATTTTCTCTTTCTTTTTTTTGCTCATATTGTCATATATATATATTTCATACATATGTTATCAATCCAACAATACTGTTATAATTATTGACTTAATATAATTGTCTTTTAAGCATTATAAGAACAAGAGAAAAATATTCTTATATAGCAGTATATAGTTACCCTCCCTCTTATTTACTGTTTTCAGTGTTCTCTCTCTCTTCCTGTGAATTCAAATTACCATCTGATGTTGTTCACTTTCAGCCTGAAGACTTCTTTACTGTTTCTTGTAAGACAAGTCTGCCAGGAACAGATTCTCTTAGTCTTTATTTGCTGAGAATGTTTTTGTTTTGCCCTTATTGGTTTTGTTGGACATAGAGTACTTGTTCGACAGTTGTTTTGTTCACTTTGAATGCCTCACTTTGTTGCCTCCTAGCCTGTATTGTTTCTGCTTCTTAGAAAAAGTTAGGTATCAATTGTATTGATATTTTCCTGACCAAGATAAGTCTTTTTTTCCCCTCCTCTTGTTTCTTTCAAGATTGTCATTGTCTTTAAACAATGTGATTGATATGTCTTGGTGCGGGCCTTTTAGTATTTTTTTCTATTTGGGGTTCATCGATCTCCTTGAATGTGCAGATATTTTCATTCATATTTGGGAAGCTTTGGACCATTATTTCTTCAACATTTTTTTTTCCTTTTCTCTCCTTTCCTTCTTGAACTACCGATGCAAATACATTGGTATGCTTAACATTGCACAGGTATTTTGTTCTGTTCATTTTTCTTTAACATTTTTCTTTCTGTTCTTCAGATTGGATAATTGAGGTATCTTTCAGATAGGTAGTCATGGCAAATCTGCTGTTGAGACCATCTTGTCAATTTCCATTTCAGATTATACTTTCAATTCTATAATTTCTGTCCAGTTAGTTTTTATGGTTTCTGTGCCTTTATTGAAATTATTTTGAATCACTGTCATTGTGTTTTCCTTTTGTTGTCAAATATGGTTTAGTCTGTAAACATATTTGTAACAACGTATTAAAGTCTTTTTCTGCTAAATCCAACATCTGTGTCCACTCAGAGTAAGACAGTTTCTATTGACTACTTTTTTTGGTGAGTATTGGTGATACATTCCTGTTTTTTCACTTGGCTTATATTTTTTGTTGTGTATAAAAACTAGATCAGACATTTTTAATATATTGTAACAACTTGGGATTCTGATTTTTTTTTTCTCTGAGGTCATTATGATTGTTACAGAGTCTTTCATTGTTGTTGATGTTGTTGTTTGGGTTTTTTATTTTATTTTGTTTTTGGCTTTTTGGTGACTTATCTGGACTAAATATGTAGACTCTTTCTCCTCTATGGTATTCAGCCCCTGATGGAGCTCCTTAGTTTAGTTTTGTTTTGTTTTTAACCCTTTTTTTATTGTTAAGCCTGACTTCCTGGGTCTACATGGCTTAGAGGACAGCCAGTTAGTTGTTGGTCAGAGGCTGAGCTCAAATAGTAGATTAATTTTCCATTCTCTGCCAACAGATTGGTTTGTGGTTTGGGGAATGCATTCGAAGTTCGGGCAGTTTTCACGTCTGCTCCCCCTCCTATTGTCCATCTGGATCTCTCCTGCCTTCTCTGTTCATTTTTGCTGCCACCAGGTCACTCAGGGATGTGAGGAGAGCTTACCCAGCCCTTCTGTGGTTCTCTCATTTCTGGGGGATCCCTGTTAAATACCTGGCTATACTCTAGTTTGATCCACCCAGGACTGTAGTCTTAGGCTAGGAGAGCTGCAAACTGTTCCCGTTTGTAGCAGGCCATGGGTTTTCCACCCTCTGTCCCCGATCAGTTCAGCCTCTTCCATTAGTGAAGCCCTTCCTGTCCATGGATAGCCCATCCTAGTGGCAGTACTTCATGGCCAAGCTGCTGGGCAGCTTGGAGCAGCCCAGGACAAGAATATCACAGACGCCCACTCTTCTTACTTGAAATTCAGCAGTTTTTCATAAACACTTTTTCATGGATAGTTGGCCATTAATCAGTTTGAGAGCCTGGATATGGCTGTTTTTGACAATTTTGTCCAGTTCTTCCTTTAGGACAGGATTTGCCTACTTCCTAACTGCCCTACGAGGAGTCTTGCCAGGATATTACCTGAAGTGATGGACATGCATTTCCCAGTACACACTAGATATGGACAGAGAATATGTTGATTCCCACAGATGGCTTGGGGTTAAGAATTTTAATCAAATTAATTATCTGTAAATAATATATATATATTTGCATATGGCATTAGAAAATGAAATTACTCACTTCCCTCTCTTGGAACAGTCTGTAAATAGAGAAATATACTTAGATATCCCAATTTTCTTCAGATCTATGTGTGGATCACTCACATAAGGAAATCAGTTTTACCTCTTTTTACATATATCTTATTTTGTGTTGCCCAAACTACAGCAAACACTTTATTATGTGAAGAGCCACTGCTTGAATAACATTGGCTTCTCTAGAAATCTTCTTTAGAAATTTATTCTCATGAATTAAATATTTGTCACCACTGAGGACATGCCAAATACTCAGTTTCCAAAGAACAATTCAAAAATATTTTGTGAAATATGAACATGACCATGATTGGCCTGGTAGAATGACTTCTAATGTTTTCATTTTCTGCGTGGACTATAACTTGCATTGAAAGGTATAACTTAAGGCAGGTTTCTCAAAAAATAAAAATTGGCGTCTTTACAGTATCATCTTACCTGTTCTCATCGTGTTCATGTGAAAGGCTCTGGCGTGTGCAGTATGGTCGCTGGATGGGAAGGGGACAGTGGCTGATGAGTCCACAGTACAGCCCATTCTTCATATTCGTTTCAAGTGCTTTTTGATGAGTAAAGGGGTGAGGGCATCGAAGCAAATGTGTATGCTAAAAAAACAAAAGCATTTTTAATTCTTCAAACTTGTTGTAGCTTCTATGCCACCAGTCAAAATTGCAGGTGACTGCCTTAATAAAGGGAACCATTGCCAGAGAATCGAATCTTTTGTCATTGTAAGGCTATAATTACTGTAATGGAATCTGGCTTTCCTATATTTACAGGTAGCTGTGAGCTAAATACTTTCTGACATGGGCACTGGTGACAAACGTAGTTTGAATAACAATGAAGAGAAGGCCCACGACTTTGAGGAATCTCTTCCATGCTCTGTTTTGAAGAAATACTAGTTAAATTTTGATTCTAACTCAAATTGTAGTTTAATAAAGTCTCCCCAAACTTGGCCGAAGGCCCTCTTGCCTCAAGTAATACGTACTTAAACAAAATTCAATACAAATAAAAAGGAACCTTTGGAGTCTCCTGTAGATTTGCTCAATGGCTTATTAAAACATCTCTCTCTTCATGGGTCTGCCACTGTCTTTAGCAATTTGGTAGCTCTGTAATACGTGTATAAAGCATATTTCTTCAAAGCTTAGCCTAAGGCATTGGGAATTCCGTGCTACTTGATCAATGTTGATTAAAAAAAAATCATCTCCTACTTATCATATTATATTGCAAGAAAAAATATGATAAATATTAAAATTAAAAAGAAGGAACACACTTTTTGAATTCAAGATGTTAGTGATGATGACGTATCACTTTAAAGGTGTAATGGGAAACAAAGTCTTCACAGTACAATCCAGTTCCGATATCTAGTGATCATGCCACTGGGAACAATGACAGATGTATCCTTAAAATCCAAAGATGAGCCCAACTTTTATTTTAACCAATATTCTTCATTTTTTTCTCTGTAGCAAATCGCTTCACAGTATTTCCTAGAAACATTTAAGAACCCACATCAGAAACACAGGTGGTTTGGGGTGCATGATGAAGCTTGCATAGAAAGAAGCTGTAGTAAGTGGTAGCCACACTGATTTCATGACTCTCAGTGTGCTAAGGTTTTACAAAGTTAGATTTCCAGAACAGTAAAAGGGGCATTTTGTTTGTTCAAGAGTATGTTTCTGTTGACATCACTACAAGGGTGAGGGATACTCTGTCCTTGAGGATCAAGAACTACACAGGGATCTTCAGTGGAACCTGGTAAAATGGTACAGGCGATCAGTGCTTCTGTTCATTGAGAGGAGAGAGACATGGATGGGGGTAAGAGGGAGGCCCTCGTTGGGTGATTCCTGTCTGGGCTCATCTTTAGGGAAGAATGTTGTCATTCATTCTCAAGCAGAGAAATGACGAATAACTGCTACCTGGGCCTTCCTAGGAGTTGGACCTGGCTGAAGATCTCAGGAAAAAAAAAAGCCATTTTCTTCCTGGATAATGAAATTCACACTGTGTCCCACGTATCAGTCCCCAGTGGAACGCTAGACTGTGTTATGTAAAATGGCCGCTGTCCAGTTTAAGAAACTAAATCTTCAGAACAAGAGGTACATGCTGTTGTTCGGTGGTGTTAATCGAAAAACGTCCCCTTGGTGTGGTTAAAGTAAATCTTTAGTAAGTTTTTATTGTACCTCAAACTCATTTGTAGGCAAAAAGTAAGCCAGCCTACAGTGGTGCCATATGTTAGAGGACAAATAATTAGAAATCTCACCTTTGGAAAGGTGAGAACCACCAGGGATATGGTGGAAGCTTGTGTCCCCATAAAACAAATAGAATATGTGAAGGAAGAGAACATCCCTCAGAGTTAAAAGGAGTATATTTAGAAACAGAGCACATAGCTCAGAATCTTATAACCTTACGTAAGACATTACCCATAGAGGCCTAGGCTGTAAAATATAGATTCAAGAATGATTCAGCAGAGACAACAGTGGTGCTTCAAGGAGGCCCAGTTGGGGGGCGGGTAGGGACCAGATGGGACACCTGTACCTCTCGGTCCAGTCACAGAAGGCAGCCGACCTCTGCAGTCTGCTCACTGCTCTGCAGGCCCAGGCCGGTGGAACGTGGGTGTGCCCCAGCGTGGTAGGTTGTATGGGTTTCACTCTCATGCTTCCTCTAGAAAGTAGAGGAGCAGGCAAGCCACTGGGCTCAGTTAGTCAGTTGTGTCTCTTTCTGTAGCACTTTTGCCGTTCCAAACTCCCATCAGGTAGCAGATCTCCAAACAGTTCCATAAAACCCAGACTCCCTGAGGGTGACCCCAGGGACACTGCAGCCTCTTTCAACTTCTCAACCACCATGTGGGCTTGGTCACCACAGGGCCTTCCATATGTCTGGAATGTTCTTTCCTGTGCCCTTTGCTTGGCTGGCTTCTTGTCACCATCCAGGTCTCCATTTAAATACCTTTATTTATGTGTTTATTTATGTGTTCATTTATTTGCTTATGTTCTGCTTTGTCTGACACATCTGTCTTGGGCCACATTTCCCAGAAGCAGACACTGGCATGAGCACTCAGGAGCAAGGGGTTTGCTAAGAACATGCTCCCAGGGTGGACCAGCAAGTGAGCAAGGGACGAGTTCAGGCAGAGTGTCACAAGAGGGTACTCAGCCTGATCTTTGCCAGAGAGTATAGGTTGTGGCCAGATGGCCCACAGCCCATCTTGCAGGCCCTCTGCAGCCATCAGGAGCTGTACAGGTTGTAATTCACAGGTGGTAGTTAACAGGTAACGTAGGTCACCAGATGATCCAGGTAACAGGTAGGTCACGGTAATTCACAGGTGGTAGTTCACAGGTAACAGGTAGGTTATAATAATATATTAAACAGGTGGTAGTTCACAGGACAGATAGGCAACAGGTGATTCACAGGTACAGGTAGGTCACAGGTGGTATCACAGGTAAGGTATGTCCGGGAAGTAGGGACACGAGACATAAATCCTAGATACGTTCACTTTTAGCCCAGAGCTTGGCAGGGACACGTAGGCACATAATTATTACTTGTGCATTAATCTAAGGATAATGAACTATCGAGAACTCGCTAAGAATCATAAGTTTTTTCTTTTAATGGAATGAGCCAACTACTGTGTGAGTGCCCCAGCACCTTGAGAAGTCTTCTCAGAATCGTAGGTACTTGACTTTTTCAGAAGTGCTTTAAAAAGGTCCCCTATGTCAACCCAGGTGTGGCTCAACGCCTGTAATCCTACCACTCCTGGGAGGCCGAGCGGGTGATTGCTCAGGGTCAGGAGTTTGAAACCAGCCTGAGGCAAAGCAGACCCCGTCTCAACTAAAAATAGAAAGAACCTTAATTTGCCAACTGAAAATATGAGAAAAAATAGCTGGGTCCATGGTGGCGCGTGCCTGTAGTCCAGCTGCCCAGGAGCTGCAGGCAGGAGATTCTTGAGCCCAGGAGTTTGAAGGTTGCTGTGAGGCTGACGGACGCATGCGTCACTCACTCTATAGCCTGGGCAACAGAGTGAGACTCTGTCTAAAAAAAAAAAAAAAAGTCACCTATGTCCAATGCAAGAAGCAGAAATGAACTTGGGCCTCCGGTGCACAGCTGGCTATTCCCCTGTGTGCTCCCTGTCTCGGGGTAACAGGGTCAATGCACCATTTTGAAATTGCTCCACAAAACATCCCGCACTGCGCCTGAAACCCACAGAAGATTGTTTCCACAAACCACAAAACAAAGACAGACTCCAAGTAAGGGGTAAAAAGAAAGCAGAACGTGAATATTATGAATGCACGCCGTTGGATATTTTATTAACAAAAAGAATTCCCCAGTCCATTCTAGCCAGAGAGCTCCTTTGTGAGCTGAGAAGTGGGAAGAGCAGGAGATGAGCTGGAGCAGCCGGGAGGGGTGGTGGTGGCCGGGTGAGCACGCTCTCCTCCCGGGCCCTGCCCTTGGCCAGAGCCCGCCATGTTCAGCCTGCTGGCCGCGTCCTCCTTGGCTCTCTTTTTAAACACATTGATGTATCGGGTACACCCCAAACCAATTAGGTCAAGATCTCTGGGGTCAGTATTTTTCTTAAAGCCCTGCAGGTGATTCTGGTTTAAGAACCGTGGGTCTAGGCCAGGCGTCCTCAAACTACGGCCCGAGGGTCACATGCAGCCCCCCGAGAACATTTATCCGGCCTGCCAGGTGTTTTTGCCGCCACTGCCTGTCCTGCTTAGCAGCCCACTGGTCCCGGGCCCACAGTGCGCATGTGTAGAATGTGCACTGCGCCCTCCAACGGCCCTCCAACTGTCCGAGGGACAGTGAACTGGCCCCCTGTTTAAAAAGTTTGAGGACCCCTGGGGGCGGTAGTGCCGTGATCTTGATCGAGACCAGCTGTTCTGAAGCGGTCGGCTTGTTGTATAAAGAGCTAGGCCTGTTCTGAATCGATTTGGATGCAGTCACCAACCCTTGCACCCTTCCCTAAGGAAGTCCCCAAACTCATGGTGCTCACCAGAAAGTTAACAGCCCCACAAGTCCCAGAGGTCAAAGCCAGACCAGACCCACCTGTTTGACTAACTCAGCGACTCCTGGATTAACGTGGCCCTAAGCCTTTTTGTTTCAAAATGCCACTTATGGTGACTTCCCAAAGCAGTGTGTCACTGAGCAGACTTTGGGAAACACTCCTGGCCTCGGCGTTCACAAGCCGGCGGTTGGATGCTGGAGGGGAGGAGGGAGCAAAGCGCCGGGTGACAGCTGCACTCGTGACCCTGGAAGGACCTTGCCTCGTGTCACAGGAGCAAAGCCAGAGCATGTCCACATGTGTGCAGGCTTGCGCCCCCGTCACATGGAGAAGACTGTCCTGTCTTCGGGCACCGGGCAGGGCCTGAGGCAGCTAACCATCCCAGCGCCGGTGCAGCCCAGAACTCAGAACAGAGGACAGAGGACACAGTGAACAGCTGGTCCAGTAGTTGGCAGTCCTCCTCCTCCATGTCATTTGTTTGCTGAAGGGGAGGGAGGCTTGACAGAAAGGTGGGGGGACTGTCCCTGAAGTGCCGTGGGGGAGAGACTCTCAGGGCAAAGGCACCGTCCCCAGACCCCTCGCCAGCGCCTCTCCTGAGTCCCTCGAGCCTCAGCATGCACAGGCGTCACCTGCCCTGGGTAAAGTACAGGTGCAGTGGCAGGCAGGCGCCAGAGCCTGCGTTCCTCACAGCTGCCAAGGGACCACTCCCTGGCCAGGGAGGACACGGACCCTCCCCACGAGGGGTCCAGAAGGCGTGTTCATCCTCCACTTCAGGGACAGAGGGGTGTGAGACTGAGCTTTTCTGGGAGAGTTGTTCTCTGGTGACATGGCTCTGCCCCTCATGGCCCCTTGGAAACCTGGAGGGCCACACCTGCCCTCCTCTGAGGACAGCCCTTACAGGCTAAGAGAACTCTCACATCCACACTTCCCACACAAGGGCGCCTTGCCCCGGACGACACACTCCCAACCTCTCCACTCTCCCCCACGGGACAGCATCCTGCTCTCCTTTCCATCCCAGTGGCTCTGGATCCCTCTTGAAATGAGTCCAGAGATGCTCTGACCTGTGCGAGCAGAGTGGAGCCTCCTGCCTCCTCCTTTCTGGGCACTTCCGCGTGATCTCAGCCTCGGAGCACTGCCCCTCCCCCTCCTCTGTGGTCTCCCTGGTGGCCAGGCTCCTTCCACAGTGGGAGGCGGGGCAGGGAGCCACACCCACTTCCTGCTGGCGGGGAGGTTGTTGGGTATAAAGCAGGCTTGCAATCTCTGCACCATGTCTGTGCTTCTAGAAATGCAGCAACTGGTCTGGTTTTATGGAAGAAGGAGGTGAGATCCTTGCACAGCAGCTGCTGGAGACATGTGCTTTATTTTTGCTCCGGGCAGTGACCTAGAAGAAATAAATGTGCTCATAAAAGGGACTTGGTTCTTTTCTTGGTGAACAGAATGGGCCATTTGTTCCAGCTGGAATTGTCCCCTTGTAACAGCCCCATCTGCCTGTCATTAGCCTGGCTGGGGGAGAGGCCGGAGGGCATCAGAGTCCCACGCTGGTGGTCTCGGGAAGCTGTCTCAGTAGTGGCAACCACTGACCCACCCATTTCCATTCCTTCCTCGCAACACCTGGAGCCAACCTGGCCATGCCAGATTTCAGTATCTGGGCGATCAGAACCCGAGATGAAGATGAAGGTCTTCCAGGAGAGTTTTTAAGAGCCTCCAGACAATGAGAGACGGTGCATGTACTGTCCCGATCATTTCCATGGATCGGAAGCAAGAAATGGGATTTTCAACGCATGACAAATAAGGAATTCCTGTTTTCCCACAAACATTCAAAATGTGCTATCAGGGGTCACAGGCAAAAGGTAGTCACAAGCATTCGGTGTAACAATAAAAGGTGAAAAAGACATTGGCAGCATTTTCTTGCAATCCTCCTTCAGAAGGTTCACTTCAGTGTAAGCGTGTTCACCTGAACAGAAGGTGGTCCTGTACCCCTTCTTCCTTAGAGATGTCATGAGTCACCACCTCCACTCATGCACTGGGGTTCTCTGAGGTGGTGCAGGTCCACAACTACTTCTGAAGACCTGAGTGGCTTTGCAGGGCGTGGCAGAATTCACCTTTGCTAGCTTGTCACAAACCTACCCGTCAGGCGATGGAAAGTGCATGCGTCCTGCAAGAACCCACCTATTTCAAGTGACATGGTACCTATTGGTGCCAGAAATATAACCTAGATAAATTATCATTCAGGAGCTGCTGAAATTTCTGCAACCTGACAACTATTCCCCTTCCTTACCTCTAACTATGATTTGACCACAGGGGGAGAATTTCTATATGGAGCAAAAAGAAAGGCAAGGAGAAAATATTTGACATTCAAACATTCAGGCAGTATGTGACAAGAGAGTGATGCATGTGTCCATTTCTAATGCTTTTCCTAGCTGGGAGGTGTTGCCATCCTTATTTTACAGATGAGGAATCTGAGATTCTAGCCAGTGGTTTTCCATCTTAAAAATCACGTATGAAACTTAGAACCACAAATAAAATCACTTGTAAAGTTTCTGGTGCCCAGAGCATCAGAGACTGGGCATCAGGAGGCTTGAAGTGAGTCCCCAGGTACAGCCCACCCAAGGACATTGGTGACTTGCCTAAGGGTGTCACAGTTAGGAAGGGACAGACTAAACCTTAACTCCAAATCTGCAATTGTGACTAATCTGTATCTTAAGGTCACGTTGATCCAAATTATCTAAATCAGAACCAAGAACCCCCAGGTTTCTATTAAAAACCAATTCTGTAAATTTTACACCAGAAAAAAGTGCAAACCACTATGAAACCCTGTTAATGATGTGCATGCTGAGGGTTTTAGGGGCGTGTACTGATGTCTGCAACTCACTTGGAAATGCATCCAGGAAGGTAAGAGGAAGTGATGGGTGGACAGGAGGATGAACAGATGGGCAGATAATGATAAAGTCAGTGTGGTCAAGATGCCAATAGTAGCATCTAAGAGATGGATACATGAGCATTTGCCATATAATTGTTTTAATGGTTCTGTGTGTTTTATCTCTTTGAAGTGTGTGTTAATGCAAGGAATAAAACAGGTGTCATCTCTGCACCATTTATTGACTAACCTATTTTAATCTATTGTTTCAAAGTTATCATGCACCGATTCCAGTGTTGTATCTTATGATATTATAGAGTTTATAAGGACAGGCGAAGGTATTCTTCTAGTGGAGTTAATTTATTGAACAAATGTATAGCAATACTGTCTTAAAAAAGAAATGGACCATCACATTTAAATGGAAAGTACATAACATTGAAACTTTTAGAAGAAAACATAGAAAATCTCTGTAACCTAGGGTTAGGTGAAGAGTTCTTCGATACATCAAAAATACAATTCACAAAAGAAAGAATAGATAAATTTGACTTTATTAAAATTAAGACCTTTTGCTCTGCCAAAGATACTGTCAAGTTGATGAAAAGATAAGTACAGACTGGGAGAAAAATATTTATAAATCACATATCTGACAAAGAATTTGTATCTAGCATATGTTGGGGGAAAAAAACCTCTAAACTCAATTGTGAGAAATTAAATAATCTGGTTAAAAAAATGGGCAAAAGATTTGAATAAACCCTTCATCAGAAAGAATATATAAATGGAAAATAAGCACACACAAATATATTTTACATCAGTTATCAGGGAAATGCAGAATAAAGCCATGATTAGATACCACTACATACCTGAGAATGGCCAAAATCCAAAAACGGACAGTACCGAGCACTGGTGGGGGTGCAGGGCGGCCAGGACTATCCTGTGCTGCTGATGGGAATGGAACATGGAACAGCCGCTCTGGAGAACGGTTTGTCCGTTTCTTATACAGTTAAACAGGCAGGCACCACATGACCAACAATCCCATGCCTGGGTATTTACTCTCAGGAAATAAAACTCTACATTCAAAAATCTATATGCATGTGTCCATAGCACTTATTTTTAATAACCAAAACTGGAAATGCTAATGCCCTTCATGTGTGGATGTGTAGATAACACATCACGGTACTTCCTTACCACAAAATATCACTGAAGCAAAAGGGGAGTGAACTATTGATACATCCAGCAGCCTGAATGAACCCCAATGGGAGTGTGCCGAGTGGAAATGGTCAGTCTCAAGAGGCTGCATACCGTGTGCTTCCACTCCCATGTCATTCTGGAAAAGACAAAACTGTGACAACAGTTAAGACAGCAGTGGTTGCCAGGAGTTAAGGATGGGGGCAGGGTGAGACTATAAAAAGGTAAACTGAGGCCATTTTTTGGAGGTGATGGAACCTTTCTGATTGCAGTGGTGGTTCCATGAATCTATACATGCAACAAAATCCGTGAAACTCTGCACTGCAAACACACAAGAGTGAGGCGCGGATGGGCTGGCGAGATACAGTTAAGGTCTGTAGTTCAGTTAGAAGTGTTGCACCAATTTCGCTTTCTGGGATTTGATCATTGTACCAGGTTATGTAAGAGGAAGGCAAGGGTACATGGGAACTCTGTTCTATCTTTGCAGTTTCTACAGGAACTCTGTTCTATTTTTGAAATTTTTATGTAAGTCTAAAATTATTTCTAAGTGTGTATATATATACACACACACATAATATTTCAAAGTATATATATATATACATACACTTTGAAGTCATTTATACATATATATTGTATAAAGTCACATTTAATGAATTTTAATATTTTTTTCTATAGTCTTCAAGCCGTAACTAAAAATATAACTTAAATACATGGTTTTCTTTCAATAAAACAGAACATTTCAGAAAAGTAAAGAAAAAAAGTGAATCAGTGATTTTTTAAAATGGTTGATACCAACCCTTGGCCAGGCCCTTGATACATAACCGGAAGTTTACTGTGATTGGATTTAAAGGTGGGGGGGGCTGTGTCAACAGTGAGGGAATCAGACAGATTGGGCAGGAGGTTTCTGGAGACATATGAACACAGGACTGTCCTTTTCTCATGCTTTGGGCAGTTGGCTCTTCCTGTTGCAGAGGTGGAAGAGGTAGATTCAAGGCTCTCAAGTTCACAAGGCTGGTGACTGTGGCCACAGTCTGGAGCTTTGAGACGGTGGAGGGGACATCGGTCTGGTCAGGTGGGAGACCCACGCTTCCCACTCTGGTGAAAGACAGACACGGTTCTCACTCAAGCCAAAGAAGCTTCTGGTGCCCTGGAGTGGAGGGCGGGGTGGTGCAGGATGTGAGCATACTTTGATTAAGTGTCCTGCTTCTTGTGTGAGATATAATAAACTAAACTTTTGATTCGAAATCAGACATTTCCTATTTAATGACCTAATATATAATTCACACCCTTTCATGTCCCTTCTGTGCTGTCGTTACCTACTCCAAAGTCACAAAGATATTCTGCTACAGTAGAGATGGCCACTGGTCTCTTAATGGAAGGGACACAGTGGTGCCTATCTGTGCCCCTCCTGCAGCATCTGGAATAATTCCTGCACTTACGAGGGGCTCAGAAACCGTTAGTTGGGTAGATGGATCCTGTGGAGAGATGGATGTCAGGCTCCTTCAAGCTTGCCCCTTGTTCCTGGGAGGGACGGACATTCTACCAGGCTCCTTCCCCTCCCAGCCCACATTGTCATCCTTGTCAGTCTGGAGTTTTCCCCATTGTTTTGCTGTGAGTTCCTTCCAGCTCTGAGCAGGGGGTGTGCTCAGCTTTCCAGGTTGGGCATCCTGTGAGTAGCACTGCTGTGGCACAGTGAGCCGTCCTCCGCCACATCTGCCCAGAGCCATTTGCTACGGGGGCACCATTGGCAGTGGGCACTTTGTGGCCTGGTCCCTGGAGAAGGAGCCTCAGACCACACAGGGTCCCCATCCTGGGAGGGGAGGCCAGAGCTGCCTGCGGCTTGTTTGGCTCAAACGCACCTCTGTGAAGTGCTTGACGTGCCGTGTTCCTTTGGGCAGGTACGTGATACCAAACACCACTGAGCAGCTTCTCTGTGAAGACATGAAAGCAACAAAGGTGATGATGAAATGCCAAATTGCAGTGTTAAATGAATTATTCATGTAGCATATGAAAGTATATTCCATATTTTTTTCATTTTTTCCAGTAATGCTCACAGTATTTCCATTAAAGCACAATCGACAAGAGAAAAAATTGTACCCAATGCTTAATCCCCACTGGAAAAAAATTCAATTTAAAGTATAATTTTTCCGCTAAAATGGCACACTTGTGACTTTTTTTTCTTTACCTTTTATTCATTTATTTTTCTCTGGATAACAAGTAATTTTTTCTAGATAGATGGCAATTTTTTTCTTTCATATTAGGGAACAACCATGACTTCAGCAAATGTTTTTAGTCAGAACTGTTTTAAATTTATAAATGGACACTAATATTTTTTTTTATTTTTTTTATTTATTTATTTTTTTTTTTTGAGACAGAGTCTCGCTTTGTTGCCCAGGCTAGAGTGAGTGCCGTGGCGTCAGCCTAGCTCACAGCAACCTCAAACTCCTGGGCTCGAGTGATCCTTCTGCCTCAGCCTCCCGGGTAGCTGGGACTACAGGCATGCGCCACCATGCCCGGCTAATTTTTTATATATATATCAGTTGGCCAATTAATTTCTTTCTATTTATAGTAGAGACGGGGTCTCACTCTTGCTCAGGCTGGTTTTGAACTCCTGACCTTGAGCAACCCGCCCGCCTCGGCCTCCCAAGAGCTAGGATTACAGGCGTGAGCCACAGCGCCCGTCCTATTTTTTCTTTTTATTGTGAAATAATTTCAGACTTACAGAAAAGTTGCAAGAACTCCCATGTACCCTTTGCCCAGACCACCAATATTGAATATTTTGCCAAATGTGACTTTTTATTTTTTACATAATTTCAGACTTACGGAAACGTTGCAAGAACAGTACAGAGAATTCCTGGATATTTG